TATGATTACATTGTTTCGATTCAAATTTCTTCATGCATTTGGCAGACTCGCTTATCTAAAGCGACTTACATTGCATTCAATTTTTGTGTACATTTTGTAATCCCTGGGAGCCATACTGTACACAACACGAAGGCCAAAAGGATGCTTTGGAAAACTAAAAAAAAAGGCCAGTTCTCATAGGCCACATACTGTACTGCAGCTATATTCGGTTGTCAATTCACCTTTTAGTCCCTAGTCCTATTCTGTACACACAGAGTTCAGTTATTTATGGAAGTGACAACAGCATTCTAAAACAAACAACAAGCTCAAAAACACTTTAAATAAAAACACTTAAATTAAGTGGATGCCTTCCAAGCCTCTGTCAGTGGTGGTTTAGTTAAAATTGCGGGAACACAACAAGTCTTTGGTCTCTGTAATATTACTTTGGTCAAAAATATTGCGAGATGCCAGAACCTTATGCCACTGTGTTAGTCATCACAATTTAGAAAGTGAGTCGTACTCCGTTCACATGATAATTTAGATGAGATGTGTGTGTGTGTGTGTGCGGTTATCTGAAGGGACTTTGCCTCCATGCTTGACTTTCTCTGGCTTTCACACCTCTGTGCTATTAACTTCAGCAATGGTTACTAAAGGACGTGCAGCTAGTAACATTTCCCTTATTTCTTACAAGAAATGCCATGGAAATTAATTTAGAAAAAGTAATAATTTAGTTGAAACTTCTTATGAGGGCATTTGTTAACGCTCAAATCATAACAAGGATTAGGAAACCGAGAGGTTCTCAGAGAATCCAAAACAAATACTAGTGTCTTAACAGCTGACACTAGTGAATAACGAAGTATGACACGTCTCTTTTGGCTCTCTTGAATTCATTTAGTTCTCATAGATACATTTTGGCACGACTGTGAAGGTCCATATTCACAGATATGGCGGAAACGAATGGATTAATTAGCAACTCACCCACTCACAGGACCTCTTTCGGTCATGTCTGTATTGAAATACACTAACAATCTGTTCTTTCATGACCTCTCAGCTTTTTAGAAGTCCACCCCATGCCAGTGGTTGAAACCTTGAAAAGACTATTTGTAGTTTAAATCCATGTCTAGGGAATTATGTCATGGACTTTGATAAAGTGCTTGAGCAGGGTCTATACATCTTCAGCAAAACGGAGCATCTCTCTTTCCTCTGTACTAGTTTGAAAGGGAAAGTTTCATTGTCAGTGATATATTATTAGACCACAGCCCTTTGGTTTGATAAGGTACTGTATGTTACTCTCCTGCTCATCGCAAGATTAGAAGAAAACTATCACTAGAACACCTACAACACTAGAGTGATTATGCCATATTGCAGTTGAACTTCATTGTCCTTCATACAGTTCCGTCCGTCCGTCATCTAAATAAGTGGAAAAACTGAAGCATTTCTCAGCACATGGGAGGCATCGAAACTGATCCCGCATATCCTGTCTCGTGGACACACTGTGTCCGTCTCAGCTGTGATCCAAATAAAATGTCACATAATTAATCGTGACATGTATTGCGATGTGTAACATATCATAAGGTAGTTGCAGATACCCTAGCCAGTGTTGCTATAACAATACCAGACACAGACACCATCATGTTGTGTCAACCAGCGACACCCTCAGCACTCAACATGAGAAGTGAAAAAGCCTAATGATACTCTGAGGAATCCAACATTTTCTGTAAAATGACAGTTCTATTGTATGTGTGTGTTCACTGTGCCTACTTGCGTCACTCTTACAATAATTGTATTTTCACCAGGTGCAGGGTCAGGGTGTCTGTAAGGATACTGTCCATCACGCCGGGCTACTGACTGATCTGCGATTCAAATCTACAGCGCGTTGAGTTCTCTCCTCGCGCTGTTTCCTCTAATAAATGAATGCTGATGGTCCATTCTCTTTAGTCTGTGCAAGGGCCATAATGAATAGCTATTATGTGTCTCTATGAGCCTGATCTAAATTCAACAGGCAATCACTCAGGAATCACATGGTCCTTCGGTACCGTGTAGTGTACCTTCCCCAATAAAACTAAAACAGAGGTAGAAAGAGAAAATGAAGAATGAGAGGCGTGACCAATGTCGTGACATTAGAGACAGACCCACCTGCAAGATAGATGCACAGAGAGACCGGAAACAGGTGCATGCCTGTTGAATCTTGTCAGCTTTATGGGTTTATTCTTGCAGTTTTTTTCAATCAAAAGAAAAATGCATGGCAAAAATGTTCCCGTCGCAAACCTCTAGCCCTGGGACCAAGGCATCTGTCACTATAAAGGCTCAAAGAGCCTCTGGACGCCAGTTTGATGTCCCATAATTCCCCGGAAGGGGTAATGTTGAGGTAATCCTCTGGTTCATGTTGTGTTGTAAAGCTCAAATAATTCATTATTCTTATGATTATTAGACTAATTTTAACCATTAATAGTACACTGTCTTCTGCTAATATTATTACATTCGTTTTTAATTTGTAAAATATGTATCTGATAGAAGCATCTATTATGATTTATTGCAGTTAGAGTATGATGTGTGTGAGTTATAAGGGCTCAAGAAGGTTTAGTCATGCTGAGTTCAGAGGACTTGCTCTCAAAGGTCACACTCACTGGGGGAGAAGGAAAGGGAGGCTCCCTCAGCCAATCATACGGCCTCCTGCTGCTGATGCTGCCCCCGCTGAATCACCATGGAGATGCAATATCTGTCCCTATTGACAAGTCATACGGAAGATGCATCCATTTTCATCATCCAGATGAATATGTCTGCATCATCACAGTTGAAAAATAGCATTTGCATTAATTGTGGATTAATTAGCGACATCCATGCTTTGTTTTTTCCCTTCGTTTTCATTCCCAGGCCCCCCATCTCACTCCTTTTAGTGTGTGACCGCTTTACTCGTTCTCACCGCAAATAATGGAGAGGGTGCAAGACCAGCCTTCTTGAACTGACCCCCATCTTCTCTCTTCCACTCTCTATTTAACATGGGTCTTTTCTTTTCACTCCACTCATCCAGTCCATTTCTCACGCTCTCCTCTTTTGGCTTCCGTAGTTGCATCTCTGTTGTGAATTTGCGGGATGGCGGAACCCAGCCCCTTCGAGTAGTACGCTTGATTGTGATGTCTTAAAAAGAAACTAAACGCTCCTTTCAGAAGTTGTTACTGCTGTCAAGCTTTTTAAATGTGTTTGTAAAAGGGAGTGATTTCATAAGTGAGAGGAAGAGGGAAGGAAGAATGAAAGAGAAACAGGAGGTCATGCAATGTGTATATAATATATAATAGTGTATATATAATGTGTATATTTCTATCATGACAACTCTCGGAAGAGTTTAGCATGGTAATAATTGATATGGCAGTGATGTTAATGTATTTGTTCTTGGCAGAACAGATCTGCTATGCTGCTGCTGCTTCAGAATACATACATGACACACTGCTGTCACTGTGAGCATGTATTGTAAGACATACTACTGCTGCTGCACATATAGCATATATGAAAGTACCCATAGTAGATATATACAGCTGGAGCTGGTGGAAGGTTTCAGAGGAACTTTGAAAGCACGCTGCAAACTGCTTACCAACTATTTAAATTTTGAGCAGCAAGCTCATTGGCTTCAGATGCAACAGCAACCAATCAGCTTGTGCCGTGTAGTCTACACAGGAATTGTAAGCAGGTTACGTTAAAGTTGCGACCCATCCGCCTGCTCCATCTAGAGTTTCATGACAGAACTTGGTATATATATATATTAGTGTGTGTGTGTGTGTGTGTGTGTGTGTGTGTGTGTGTGTGTGTGTGTGTGTGTGTGTGTGTGTGTGTGTGTGTGTGTGTGTTTTTCCCCTCTTAAAATTGTGAGCCATATCAACTGATAGTCTCAGACAGCTCTGCCTCAGATTTCTCTGTATAATAAGGGCTAATCATTGCAGAAAGGGTGATTAGTGATCAAGACCTGATTTATGAGTCACAGTTTGTTGTGCTTTTGGCTCAGGTTGGTGGGTTTGCATGCAGTATATTCTCAGCACTGTCAGCATCATTAAAGATCTGCTTTGAGTTGCTCCTTCTAAAAATCCAACACATTTGAGTGTGCCCTTAAAGGCATTCTCTTTCAAACAGAACAACTGTATGTAAATGAGGAACAGCACATCCAATGTTACTTTCCGTTGATAGTACTTGAATATTTGCTGATTCTGTTATCTGTTTCCTTCCGTTATGCTCTCTCATTGTGCCCTTGCACAAGTTGTTATGCAAAAATAACTGACCAAAGAGGTTTTTTTTTTTTTTTTTTGTAAGAGCCAGCTTATGGACAGGGCTTTATAAAGCATTTAGTGCCAGCAAAAAGAATTTGCCCGTAAAAAAACAACAAAAAAACATTTAAAACAGGATAAATTTTTTTGAGCAGCATAAATGTGCATTATATATCCTACTTGTTTTCATAACACACACCTTGATTCAAATGGTGTATACGAAAAAAAAAGTTTCCAGGATGTTTTACATATAAACCTCCAGTTTGTGAGCAAACAAGCGTGTTTATTGGAAAGCAAGACACAAAGTTTCACTCTAGCATCAACTTTGCCTCACATGTTTCTACTAAACTTCTTTGGAAGGAATAAAAATAGGCACAAATGAGTCAATTGTTGACACAGTAAAGCCACAATCACACTGGCAGTGAAAAAAAATAGCTGCAGGTCATGATTCTCAGTGCTAGTAGGCGTTCCCACATCGCATCACTGCTTATTTGCATAAATTTGAACTCTGCTTGACTTTGTCTCATCACCAACGGTTGTGGTTGCTCATGTCACTGGAATATTGCAAAATGAATGTCCTTTGTTGCCAAAAACAGTCATTGTAAACAACCCTGAATAGGGCTTTGAAATTGTGATGAGAAATGTTTGAGTTCATATTTAATTGTCAGACTTTTAATTGCGAACTTTGGAATTATTACAATTTAGAGCACAGTTTGTGACTTAGTGTTCTTGTGTTTGTAAGTCTCTCCTGTTTGTTTTTTCTGACAGGCTGATGCTAAGATGGTCTGTGATGTTGTGAGCCGTATGGAGGATACCGAGCCCTACTCTCCAGAGCTGCTGTCCGCCATGATCCGCCTGTGGTCTGACTCAGGCATCCAGGAGTGCTTCAGCCGTGCCCGCGAGTACCAGCTCAATGACTCCGCCCAATAGTGAGTATGGCTCTCTGCTGGGAAGAGCCATTAGTGCTTTCACGCTTCATTAAGAGCATTCTGCTTAAATATACGCATCTGTTATTATATCATTGACTATCACACTGCAGTCCTGTTCATTTTAGAGGCACAGGGCATATTATTTTATGGACTGTAAATTAGGTAGCGTCTACATTATAATATGTATAGTCTTTATTTTCAATGCTTTTTTGAACACGAGCTCAGCAAAATGTCACTCTGAAGTGAGAGAGATAAATTCACAGATGCAATTACAGTATCTGCTGATGAAAGGTCTTGAGTTTGTGTGTGCATTCGTGCTGTACAGGATGTGTGTGTAATAACATTGAAAGAGTTTAGTCAGCATTACATTTCAGATTTTGTGGTTTACTGTAACAGTTTGGGAAGCTGGTCCTTGTGGAAAGTGGTGTTTAGATGAAGACAAATTACTTGCTCACAGATTGACAACATAGATTATGTTGCAATGTGGGGAGGAGAAAGACTTAAAGGGAGAGAAGGCAGTGTTTTTAAAAACACTTTTTGTTATACTGGTTGATACCTGATAGCAATCAATAATAGAAGTGGTCTAAATATGAACACATGTACATACTGTATATCTTCTGTAGAAGTCACAGGACCAAATAAATGTTCATCTAATAATTGCATTTGGTCCGAATGCAATGATATGATGTCCTATCTGTCAACATATGTATTTCCATACGTCTGCGCACCCTTCTCGCGCAGACATCACACGTCATCACCGCGAGGCAATCAGAGTTGTAGACAGACTGTCACCGAGCGCCGTTAACAAACAGCAGCCATCTTTTACAGTTCCTCCTGAACCAAAACAATGAGCCTATACTGCTTTTGTGTTTTGAAGGAGGCATGGCTTTGGATCTGAAGGGAGGGTTGGATCTTGTGCTTTCAAAGCTGGGTTGCTATTGCTTGCCTCTCCGAAATTGCCTACCCTACCGTTAATGTTTAGGGTACCAAAAAATAAGTTTGCTAGACAAGCTTAGGAGAGACATTTTTCTTCCTTATTATTTGCATAAATATCACCAAGTTTTGCATAAATGTTCTGTCTTTTGTTCAAGCCAGTACATCACATGAATGATCAGTAAGACAAACAAAGTTTCCAGTAGTGTTTCAAGTGCAGGTGTATGAAAACAGAAATACCAAATGGTGGAAGGATAATAAATTTAATTTTAGGATTTATGTATGTTTTGTGATAGATTGCTGTTAGGAGCTGAAAGAGATGCACGATTGAACTATATGACTATACGACATTTACTGTTAACAGGCTTTTTTAAAAATATTACCATATTCAGTTGAGAATTTGTATATATTCAGTGACCTTGCTAATTATTTAAAAACCTCTGATTCTTTAGGAAGAATTTAATTTCAGTAGACGCTGAATGCACACCCACACCCACACCCACCCACCCCCCCACACACACACACACACACTTTTTCCATTCATAACCTGCATTTGTTCGCACAATCTTTTTTCGGATGAGCCATTTAGTCACAATGTCTGCAACACTTTGTACTGTGGCAGCTGTGTTTCCTAATTAATTCTGTTTAAAACAATACTATTTTCTTCTTACATATATAATTTAATATAATTTGATTTCTATTTTCTATTATATTTATTTTATTTATATATTTATTATGTTTTATCTTTTTATTTTATTCTATTATATTGTGTGTTTTAATATTGGTCGCACTGTAAGTGTTTTTGTGTGTGCCATTATAAAGAAGTCATGTCTCTTTTTAGTGTCTTTGTTTAATTTTGCAGTACCTCATTACCTTTTTATCTCGTCACATTTAATTCAGACTGTTAACTCACTACAAATGAGTGCAAGATATATTTCCTGTGGTTGTGCTCTAGATTTAGTAGCTACGCAGTGCACAGGAAACACTGCTGCACACCAGTGTTTATGTTTCTTAGCTTCCGCGTGTGTGTGTATTTACACTAAAGACATGGCCAGCTGGACAGGTACAACTTGTATGTCTAAATCATTCTTTCACATCAATCATTGACTGTAAGAAAATGAGTTCAAGAGAAATTGAATATAATTTCTTTTGGGCTGTTTGTGAGCACACTGGCTTCCTCTTGTCTTTAGGCTGTAGTCTTGTCTTTCTCCTCCCAAAGGTCCATTGAACTGCTGAATACATCAGGAGACATTTCTGAACATTTCCGATTGAGGCGCAGTGGTCTTTTCCAGAGTGAGATGCTGTAACAGGAATAGATCAGCCCTCATAGTATTCTGAAAACTTCTTTCATTATCTGAACTTCTTCCACTATTTCTGTCCTTCCTCTCATTCTTTCACACTCACCAGCTTCTTCTATATTACTCTGATTACATCCACTTTATGGTGCTATGAATGAGTTCATCCACTCTTGTCCGGCCTAACTGATGGATGTTTTAAAAGCTCCTCTCTTTTTACACCGCAAAACACCCCAGTTGTGTTCCTCTTGTCCTCTCAGTTTTGTTCCTGATCAGTTTTATTTTTGTTTTTGACTTCTTCTTTTCAACTCTAGGTCTGCTAATTTAATTTCTTCAGTATTTTTTTTTTTTTCCTGATAATAGAGTTAAAGAGAAGCATGTTCTAGTACTGGTTAAAAGAGATGTGCTGCAATATGAGTGTCATAATTGCTTGAGGTGCACTGGCCTGAACTGAAACTTGCTAGATTTTGAGTTTTTAAGTTAAGCACCTTCATTTTTGACGTTTCCAGAGCAAATATAGAAAATCTCTGTTCTTATTTAAGTCTTGGACAGAGTCATTTTTCAGATGAACTTTCATTGGCTTTGACTTCAGAAGATGTAGCAAGTTTCACTTATTCTCAATTTTTTTGTGGTTGTGATAGTGTATCTTCACTGAATTACTGTCAAAATCAAAATAACTTGTATCCTGGCAAACTAGGTCATTGTCAAGAAACTTTCTCAACAATGAGAGATACTTAATTTATATATATACATATATATACCCTAATGAATGTCATTATATGGACAAAAATAGAAAGTCATACAGATTTGGGGCCTCATTTATAACCGTTGCGTACGCACAAAACAGGCCCTGAAAGAGGCGTACGCCACTTCCGACGCATAAGTTGTGATTTATAAAAACAAACTTGACGGAAAAATGTGCGCACCTGCACGCAAACTCTGACCCATGCGTACGAACGTTTTGGAGACGGAGCAGTTTGGCGACACCGACGGTGAGCTGGAGTTAAATGTCTTTTTGGTCACTTTTAGACAGAAAATCTAAAGAAAATTTGGCCTATACATAGGCTATACAGAAAGATAATAAAAATATAATTTCACTCACCAAGCATATCACTTGAGGCAAATATTCATCCCTTCTTAAATGTCCGCGCCAGCGAGAGCGTTGTGCCGTTTAGTGAAACTAACGCCTATCTAACGACAGAGTCCTAATCATAAAAACAGTGCATGTTCACAATAACAGTTTAAATAAATAAAATAATGATTTAAACTGTTTTACTTCTGATATAAACATTTAGATTAAATATGCCATTGTCATTGATGGAGTTAAACACTTAAACATGAAATCATTACTGAGAAGTTACAAAATTTTTTATATTCAATAAATATTTGTTGTGGATGCAATGCTTTTGAACACTTTTCCTCTGGCATGCTTAATGTTTTAACTAAAGAGATAATTGCTTATAGCAGATTGTCTGAGAAAATAGTTTCGTGCAAATAATGCACAACAGTCTATCTGTTTCCATTAAAAATATAAATCAATAAAAAATACTATTTGGTCAGTGGAAAAGATTGTGAAAACTTTCTCTGAAATGTATTTTACACTATTTGATTTATTTATTCAAAAACAAGGCAAGGATAGGCTACTAAATTATTTTTATTAATGTAGGCTAATGTGACGGCACATCCGTATTAGGCTATTTCATATTTTCCTAATGTCTATACCGTTAAACATGTTATCACGTGGATGAATAATCATATGCAATATGATATGCAGATGAGGATATGCATAGTAAAACTAGGCGTTGTAAGCTCCATATATGGTTATTTCGGGGAGGAGACGCGTGTGCGCACAATCTTCGCTGACTGAGATTTATCGGGATTTATAAAGTGAATTCTGCGCAGGTTCTGGCGTTTAGTAAGGATCCTACGCACAGTTTTATAAATGAGGCCCCTGGAACGAGTGTGAGTAAAAAATGACAACATTTTGGGGTGAACTATCCCTTTAAGCAACAGTACAGTAATTCCAGAGGTCAGAGGTAATACCAGACTTTACATGATATTAGTAAAAATGGCTCATTTTGACATTCTTGTAGCACCCTGAATTTCCAAGCCTTTTTGTTACCACAGTACATGTGGTAGCAATGTCTCCAATGTTCTGTAGTTCTTTTTTTCCTGCACATCTTTCTGTCTCTCTCTCTCTCTCTCTCTCTTTCTGTCTCTCTCTCTTTCTGTCTCTCTCTCTCTCTCTCTCTCTCTCTCTTCTCTCATCTCTCTCTCTCTCTCTCTCTCTCTCTCTCTCTCTCTCTCTCTCTCTCTCTCTCTCTCTCTCTCTCTCTCTCTCTCTCTCTCTCTCTCTCTCTCTCTCTGTGTGTGTGATGGGGAGCAGCAGACAGCAGGCAGGCCGCTGAGAGGTGTTGCCAGGCAGAGCACTCAAGCAGCAGCAGGAAACAGAGGGAGGGTGGAGGGAGAAAGAAAGAAAGATGGTGTATGAGAGAGAGAGAGAGAGAGAGAGAGAGAGAGAGAGAGAGAGAGAGAGAGAGAGAGAGAGAGAGAGAGAGAGAGAGAGAGAGAGAGAGAGAGAGAGAGAGAGAGAGAGAGAGAGAGAGAGAGAGAGAGAGAGAGAGAGAGAGAGAGGGAGACGGGGGAAGGGCAGAGCTGGCAAGCAGCCTGAGTGGTAGAGAGATACGAGTTTTCCATACTAAAAAGAGAGAGAAGTGAAGAAACCGTACAGCACAACCCCTGCCCGCATGTCCATTAGGCCTAAAACGACAGAGTAAAGTCCACATAGTAACGTCATATTTATAAAAGATTTACAATAGTACATACAGCTACTCCACAGAACACCATCAGGGCATTGAGTGCATTTGAGATATAAACAGTAGTCCTGCTGCGAATGACAAAATGCACTTGCGCACAACGTACTTTTACATAAAATACAACAATTCTTCCTTACTGAATATATTCTCTGCATCTACAGCAACTAAGCAGACAAGGAGTTGAAATATATGATGATATTTTTTGATATTTAAAAATAATAATAATTTATTTAATATATATATATATATATATATATATATAGCTAAATAATACTGTATTTCAAGAACTATTTCAGACAATTTTCTTTTGCATCTCAAGATTTTTGTACTCTCACCCAAAGGCAACACTCGTATCTGTCTCTGAGCCATGACTCTAGAGAAATTTGCCTTTAGTCAAATGTAATGAAAGATTACCGACGCTTATAGTGGTTTTATCTGGCCAGTGCGGACAGTTGCTTTCTAAAAAAAAAGCTTATGGAAATCCTAAGTTAACATAGCCGCCCTAAATCTGCTATTTGTTAATAGACAAAATATGCTGAGAGGGACGCGTGCTCAGCCAGCAGATACAGGTCACAAAGGAACGTGCCCCAGAGAGAGACAGCATTAACACTATCAAAGAGAAGAGAATGTGTCAGTTTACAGTCATCCTTATTAGTGCTGTTCACCTGATGTCCCATTTTAAAACTGTGTATGAGAGCAGTTCATACTTAAGTACATACTGTGTCAGGTAGACTTGAAAGAACCTGAGATTAAGTGCCACTGACTAAGCGATCCTGCAACCAAAAGTGCCACTCATAAACATTGATACAATTGATCCAGTCACAGCAACAGCACCCCCTAGAGTCAGTGTAGTGAACCATAAGAAGAGAAATATGCAAAATACACATTGAGGTTTCTTTCAAAAGTTCTTAATATTGTTTCCATATATGGCTGACAATATACAGTGGTTTTTTTATTATAATTATTTTTTATTACAGCAGATTTGTCTAAAACCTGTATCACCGTGACTTTGCCAAGCAAGACATGTTCATGGATCAACATATTTTGTCTGGAAATGTAGTCCTAACCCTACCCCTAAACCTAACCCTACCAAACTTATCCCTAAAATCAGAGGGAAATAATATGTGAATAACACTGATGTAGGGGCACCTAACCCTGGTTGTAAGCTTAAACTTGACATAAACTGTAAACTTGTCCCTCAAATCTGATTGGTTGATTAGAATATTGTTGAATGTTGTTGATCCAGGAACATGTTGCACGTTCACCTCCAGCATTTAAGAATGGTCAAAGGAGCATTGTGTTTTAATGGAAGCAAGAACTTCTGACCATTTGCCCTTTTTAAAATGCTAAAACTTTCTGTTTATTTCCAGGTTTAAAATAGATTTTGTTTCCCAGATCTTCCCAGTGGTCTGAGACTTTTGGACCACGTGACATAGACCTTGCCCTCACGTGCTGTGTTATTCATGGCTATTTTTGATTTTTTCAGTCCTATTCTCTCCCCCTCTATTTCAGGCCTTATATCCATTTCAGCCTGTGTCTGAATCTGGCTCCATGTCACTACATCTGTGGGGACTTGGCACAGGGAATTTCACATTACTATCAGAGATTTAACTGCTGTTTATCATGATTTAGTGTTTAGTGATGCTGCATGATGTTGTAAGTCTGTGGAATTATTTGGTGGAAGGGAGGTTATGAGGTCAGAAGGCTGTACGTGTAGCCAGGGACGGGACAAGGGGGAAAGATGGATAACTTGTAGTAGAAAAATGAATGTGAGAAACTGTAACGCTTAATATCTGGGGGCTTCCAGCCTTTTAGTGCCATTTGCCATTGTGATAGACTTGTTTTGCACATCAGCTCCACAAACCCGAAGAATATAGGGTTTTTAAAGCGTGATTTGAGCTAGAGAAGAAACATTTACAGTATGAAGATATTGTTGACCGATTTAAATCTAATATATCATTGCCACATAATCTTGAAAAACAGTTTTGGATATTTCAGTCCCAATTAGGTAGATTTAAGTCGATTCCTATACTAGATACATACAGTAAAAAAAAAGTACCAACCTAAAACGGTAGTGTACATAGAAACAATATATATGTTGCTATCCACCTTATTGTTCAACGCAGAAGTAAGCTATATGTCTTTTGAAAGTGTGAAACTTTCGATTCATTAGCCGCTATAGTGAAATAACTTGAAGAATAACAAAGTGGTAAATGGTAAAACTATTTGCACTACAAACTCAGTGTGTTTATAATTAAGACAATACATTAAAATAATATAAGAAATACCAGTTTGCAATATCAACAAGCATTATAGCTGTTTTGTACAGCTAAAAACATTCAATTTATGAATGGCCGTGCTCGCTTTTACGTTAAAAATAAGTTGGATAGGGGAAATATCCAAGATGCCCGTTGAGTGAACTGACTTGTCTTAAAGGGACTTTGTTGTAGTTGAGCACTGAAGACAGTAGTGACAGTGGAATGTTCACATTTCACTGCAGAATTCTGGTGCAACCAAGGAAACCTTCGACTGCAACATCTCAATGCCACAGATGGACAGGAAAAGAAGGGAGATGAGAAAGAAAGAGAGGAAAACAAAATAAAAAAGCAAGAGCAGAATGTACACCGAAGCATACAAGATATAATTACACAAGACACAAAATGAAAAATCGAGCTGATCTGAAATTCCAGCAGGAATACATGCAGTCATTTTCCTCTAAATGTGTCAAAACATTTTTGAAATTGCATTTTTGATGTAATCATCCATTAAATGTCTACTCTCTACCAGTATTACCAGCCAGATGCTTTGATGGATGTTTCGGCGTCTCGTGGTACTCAACCTTCAATTCAACTGGCATCCAATTTGGAAGCACACATATTCATCTGGAAGATAAATGACATCCACAGCCTTAGAGAATATACATCACTCATTGTTGAAAATCAGGCTCGGTTCCTCCGGTCTGATTGCATCACTGTTGTGTTTTGAAGAGGTATCTTGTGTATAAATGTGGCAGCTGTGAGTGGCACAAGAAGAATGTTTCATGTTTTATTTTGACTCATAGTCCTAGTCTGATTGACTGTCCTGTGTTTAAGATTTTGTCTTTAGTAGGGATGGACTCTCATCTGATTTGTTAACACACTATTATATGAAAAGCAACAATTTTTCTGTCAGGGCTAACATAAATGAGAATCTGACAACAAAATATGAGGGAACAAAGGGAAAACTTTTTAGTACATTGTTGTCGTGTAAACATATCCTAAGAATTTAAAGTCTCCTATGCTCAGCAATACATTAAAAAAGCAATATTGTGAAATAATATTATGATTTACCTTTTTTATGTTTTAAAATGTAACTTATTCCTAAGTTCCAGTTTTCAGTGTTCCCTCAGAAATCATTCTAATATGCTGATTTGGTGCAAAACAAATCTTACTGACCCCAAACTTTTGAATGGTATAGCATATGCCTGATTATAATATCATCATTACTGATGAATTACAGATGTCATGGTAAACACTATAAACAGTGTGTTAGTTGTGCTAGGTAAATAGCAGTTTTTTTAAATAAGGCGCAACCTATAAGCCAAATGTACATGGAATAGATGTTGTTGTTTTTTGAATAAAATGACAGTTACTGATTTTAAATACATCATAACACTATTCCAGTGCATTTGATTAAGATATGTTGTGGCTGATTAGTGAATAAAATATAAGTTTTTGCACTGAAATGCAGCATTGTTTAGTGAATTCACCCCACAATGTCTTAAGAGACTGATTCATGATGCTTTTATGATTTGAGAAAAACAACAGCAACTTTTGGATCTTCTTGGTTGAGAAGTTACTAGTATCTCAAGAGACTTTTATACTTCATGTGAATGACAGTTTCTCAGATTCTGTGGAAAAACTGTGGGTCCTAACATGCTGTCTTTCATTCTTCCTCCAGTTACTTAGACAGTTTAGATCGGATCGGTGCTCCAGACTACCAGCCCACAGAGCAGGACATTCTGCGAACTCGAGTGAAGACCACCGGGATTGTAGAAACCCACTTCACCTTCAAGAATCTGCACTTCAGGTGAGACTGATCGGTCGGTGTGTTATTTCTGCATCTGAAGGTATACAGCGTGTAATTCAGAGCCTTTCTCAGGCTGTTAGAGTACTACAGTTATTATCATTTTCACTCATTCATGAATCATAATCAGGCCATGGCTAGATGAAAAAAAAAAGTATGATTTAATATATGTATACTCAGACTCTTTTCAGCAAAAAGTGTTTTTAACTCTCGCATTACAGCTGAAGTGGTTATAGACCGAGATTAACGCAGATGATTATCCCCAAACACTGCCATTCTCTCACTTCATATCAGCTCCTCATTCACAGTTTTTTCTGATAGCCCGTGAAAATAGAAGACTAAAATAAAAAGTGTTGATAGGGGTTGGACAGACAGAGCTGCCACATTATTCTGAAGACAGATTTAGCAACATGTCATACTGTTACGGCAGAAACTAGGGTTTTCACAGAAAAGCGCAGTACCTCAGTGCACAGCAGAAATACATGTTCTGAAGCTGATACTAGCTAGTGAAAATCATTACCGATTTAAGATTTAGGGCTTTTAAAGCATATAGTTATGTAATAAAATACAGTAGTGGCGAAAAGTGATGATTTTTAATTTATTTCTTTTTTTTAAAGATTTTGTAATCATATTGCGTAGTTGTGCTTGGAGTCAATCGTTTTATTTGTGATAACGTTATAAAACATGCCAAATTGTGTGGACATAATTTTTGGCCAGGCTGAAATTATGAACACGTGCAAGAATAAGAGAGAAACAACAAAACTGATTATGCTGTATTCAATGTATGTAATAAAATGTAATAGTTTACCCCATTTTTGCAGAATAATTTTGTCAGATAAATACCTTAACCAAGTTTAGTGTTTTGTCCTCGTATTTAAATGGTTTGATCAAACTTGTTGGGTCATTAAAAAGAAATCCCCAAACCAACCCCCTTCAGACATCACTTTTGGCCAATACTGTTTAAAGATTTTGGTTTAATGGATAATCATGTCGCTTTAGGAAAGTTTTTGAGGAGAAAACGGCACGTTAGCTGTTCAAAAGTTTGGGAGCGGAAATATTTGTAATGTTTTTGAAAGTCCCAGAAAGGCAGCATTTATTTTTTTTATAAAAAATACAGGGAAACCTGTAATATTATGAAATGTTATTAGTTTAAATAACTGTTTTCCATTTGAATATATTTTATTTCTTTTGTGGCAAAGCTGGATTTTCAGTAGCCATTACTCCAGTATTTAGTGTCACATGATCCTTCAGAAATCATTCTAATATGCTACATTCTCTATATTCTACGATAAAAAAAGAACTGTGTTTATTTGAAATATAACTCATTTTTAACATTATAAATGTTTAACTTTACTGTCACTTTTGATCAATTTAATGTGAATTATTGCTGAATAAAAGTATTAAATGGGTCATATGATACTATTTTAAAAGTTTATTATTTTGATTGGGTGTAATAGAATAGGTAACATGCTTTGATTTTCAAAAAAACACATTATTTTTCATATACTGTACATTATTAAGTCTCCTCTATTCCCTGTGAGAAACGCACTGGTTTCTACAAAGCCCCTCCTTCCTGAAAGCTCAGATTGCTCTGATTGGTAATCTGACCTAGTGCATTGTGATTGGTCAAACACATCAAGTGTGTGTCGGAAATGTAACGGCCCTTACCATGATCGTGAGCTTCAGTTTCCAAGGCTTCTAAAGGGTTTATAAACACACTGTTAATAATAATGTCGTTGGTTACCATATCAGTTTGAGTCTGAGTCGGATTGTGAAAATACGGATGTTCAAGCCGTTCGATTGGAAATAACTTTGACAGTGGTAAGCAGTCTGGACGCTGTCCTCTGTAAAATATGCTTTCCACAAGCAAACACTGAGTTGTACTGCTCAGGAACAGCTTTATAAACGAATCTTAACCTCGGGTTTGCTTTCGCATCCAAACACACAACGCCAAACACACACTGCAATTCACTGAAACCTCGTCTTCTTTCTTTGCGTATGCCTTTAGACGGGCATTATGCTAATATTTCACATTGTGACTTGTACGTTTGAGGAAGTAATATCTGGACTTCGACCGAGGTGTTTCAGGCAGATCTGGATCGCTGTTCTCCGTTAGATAAAATAAACCACTGTGTTGGGAGACTTTAACTTTGCAGATCTTATACAAGCACAAACAAATACATTACACACTAAAGGAAACGAAAAACAGTAAAAAGTATTATATGACTCCTTTACTTTCTTCAAAAAACAAAAACAAATCTTACTAACCCCAAGCTTTTAAATGGTAGTGTATGTTGCTCGTGTGATGCAGTGCATTATTGTGATTGTGGTGAACTCATGTCGAGTTGTGTCTTCTCAGGCTGTTTGATGTGGGAGGTCAGAGGTCGGAGAGGAAGAAATGGATCCACTGTTTTGAGGATGTGACTGCCATTATCTTCTGTGTGGCTCTGAGTGGATACGACCAGGTGCTCCATGAAGACGAGACCACGGTGAGCACTAAATACACACGCACAGACATGCATCCATACTCAAACACACACTTCTGTGCTTATGCTCTGACACACACAGGCTCATAAATAATTGCACGTGCACTGTGTTTCAAATACACTTTGTGCACACTTAACAAACTAACAAAAATGATTCATGGGTATTTGAACATGTTTTCTCCTTTGTAAGTTGCCTCAGATGAGATGTTTATCACAAATACTGATGGTCATGACGTCTTGGTGCAGACATAATGATCTTCGAATTGATCAGAACACTGTAATCACAATCATGTTGCCAATCATGTGACCATGATAAAAGTGTGCTGTGTGATCATCCACAGCCTTACAATTAAATAAGGGCCACGGGACCTGGTTTGGATAATAGCTGGTTTTTAGAAATTTTTAAGGTCAGTGGCATTTATAAATCAGCCTCCATTATGAACTCCCACACTAAGCGGCACATTCGGTGATGCGTATTCTGTGTATGTGTCATCTTGTGCGTACTGTAAAATTCTTAGAAATGGTAATTAATAATGAAAAAATAAGAATACTTGATAATTGTATTTCTATTCCAAAGTTTTAACAAACTTACTGTTACAAAATACTGTAAATCTCACTATAGGTTCAAATACACTAGGTTTATACTGGATAAAAATCATTTTTCCCCATAAATAATTCCTATTGGTCACCCTTTACATCTGTCTGTGGGTTTTGCTAATATTTTAACAATTAAAAGTATTAAAAAGAGCTAGTGAATAAACCTCGTAACTCCATTGGATCCTCAAACTCCACCCCGCCTCTATCATGAATGAAGTGCTTCACTCAGTTTGGAGCATCTATGCTTCTTTGCAATGCAAAGGTAAATAAAGAAATGCTTTTTTGAATTAGTACAGTACTTTCTTAACTCAAGAAACACTCTATATATAACTGAATGCCCACACAGCTACAGGAAGCTTTATAACCTGTATGGTGATGAAAACGTAATGCACTTACTGTCTCAGATGCGAGAGCTGTACAAACTTTGCTCTAGAGTTATGGTGGTGAAGAAGTCTCAAACCCCAGTTTATTGTCCACTACAGAAAGTGAAAGTAAAAACTGACCGAGCTTTTGACATCTGACAAATCCTGTTGATAAGGCCGATAGTTGATGCTTTTGACGATATCTCTGCTATCGTCAATACACAATATCATCGTCTATGGGCGCAATCTGGCAGAGGGCTTATCACGGGCATCAACCACTCCCCCCTCCCCCCTCCTGCGTGCCTGTCCGCTACGCGACTGTACTCCGGGACCCGCCCTGCTTGTCACATCTAGGTTTCAATAATGGGTCATGTTTTGATTCCCCACACACTGTACCATCATTATTGGACCAATTACTTGGACAAGTCTAATAACGGCATAGCTTTGAGTATCGTGTCTGTGTTGCAAATGCTTATCCCGTGCTAACCACCTGCATATAATGGGTTCTCAGAGTGCTGGAGTGCCCATGTGGTCACAAAGGTTAAACATTTTTCTAGTTTTTTTGTTTTGTTTTTTTGCTTTGTTTTTTTGCTAACACATTTTGCAACTTGTAATGTCAGGATGCATTTGTCCCACATCTTAAAATGGTAATTTTGTTGATTGTTAACCCAGTCAAGTGTTGGGCTCAGCGTAGGTTGAGTTGGGTGTTTTGTCTCCTGGGTGGTCATGTGATGTTGTCATTAGTTTAAGACAACAAGTACTTTCCTCACCATGTCCGTTTCTTATAGACAACATGAGATAAAATGGTAACAACTCAATAAGTTCCCATTAGTTCCCTAATTGTTTTTACAATGTTTATTAGGGGTTCATGCACGTAGTGCTGAAACCCTATTGTAATCAATCTTTGTTGATGTTAGTTCATTGTTAATTCATGTTATCTCAGGTCCATTAAATAATGTTAAAAGACACAAGTTTTGTTTTTAATAATGTATTCCAAATAACATTAACTAAGATTAACAAATGCTTTAACAATTAATTTTAATTGTTCGTTAATGTTTAACTAATGTTATCAAATGGAAATACGGAATATTAAATAATATAATAAGTAGAAATAACTAAATGAAGGAAACTATTAAGTTGACCCAACTTTTTTTAAGTAATCAAGCTTTTTTTCAAATATATAGGCAAATTATAAATTATGACAACTTGTTAATGGCAATATGTTTACATAAAATAATTAAGTAGACAAATTCAAAAAACTTATTGTTAAGGTCTATGAACATTTTTACAGTGTCCTTTAAAAGAAGAAACAAATAATTATTTGTATCCCCAGTCCCCACACAATCGATTGATTTTGTGACCGTGCCAATTGAATCATGGCAGGTGTGATGAGTCATGTCTGGACGTCTGTGTGGCACAGGCCTCAGATCTGCCTAGACACACTCTCTCTCGACAAACTCCGATAAGAGAATTTTTACAACATCAGAGAGATTTACGGTGATGTGTTTTGGATATAGGAGCGCTTTTATGGCTAGAAAAGAGGACGACCATAAATACAGCAACTCTCACGCGCCCATATTCACCTGATCTATGGAAGTGATAAAAAGAGAAGACAGATTCTGTAATTATTCTGTAAGAAAGTCCTGGCGAAACAAAAGGACAGAGATAAACACGCATACAGATGCTATGAATACACACTCTCAGAACGTGTCTCCTCTCAGTGCTTGTCCATTCAGCGCTCTATCAGTGTTTACGCATTTGTCTTCTGACATTCTGTCCCAAATTTCCTCCTGTGCACCCTGTGCCTTTTCCTCCTCCATTTCAACAAAAAACATACGTTTATTTCCTTCAAACACTGTTCTTTTCAAGTTTGACCTGTGAGAGACTTTTTTTTCATCTGTTTAGAGCTGTTCCTTTCTTCATGTGTGACAAAGCATGGAACGATTCTGCATTGCTAGACTATTGTTTAGCATTCCAGTGTGTGTGTGTGTGTGTGTGTGTGTGTGTAAACGTACGTGTGAGTCTGAACAGCAGTGGTATCTGAGGGTGTGAGTGAAGTGGTGAAGTGTTGGGTTCTGGTGCATGTCCGGTTCCGCTCAGCTGCTCCTGTGGCCTCCAGCGGCCACCTCTGCATCTGCGTCTCTCCTTCAAAACATCTCAGCTGCTCTCCTGTCATCTCTCGCCATCGGCTTTCTTCTCTAAGCAATCGCTAAACAATCCAGCCCAGCTCTACAGACGGCCCTTCCACAGGTATGAAATTATCGCCAGCAACCTCAGTTGAAGTACCTACTAAAAAGAGTTGGAAGCAGTAGGGTTTATGTTGTGCCTTGCGGTAACTTAAAGGGATAGTTCACCTAAAAATGAAAATTCTGTCATCATTTCAACAAATATTCTACATCCTTATAAAGAAAATCAATGGGGTCAGATATTGTTTTGGACATCTTTGACTTTCATTGTATGGATGAAAACAAATAATTAAAAAATCTATGGAATAAGATAAAAAATGTCTTGATGAGCCTTTGGATGTCAGAATTGGAATGCAAAAAAGACCCTTCGGACTTGAACGCTGATGTTTGCGGTCTATTAAAGCATGAATTTGATGTAAACAATAGGACTACATATTATTAACATATGCTTTTCATAGGGGACATCATGTATTAGCCCTACAGTTACAGCATGAAATAATATTTAAGCCTATAACATTTTACCTAGATAACATTTAACATTTTTATGTCACAATTCGGACTTTTTTCTGCGAGATTATATCTCCCAATTTGGAATTTATAACTTGCAATTGCGAGTTTATATAACAATTCCGAGGGGAAAAAGTCAGAATTGTGGGATATAAACTCGCAATTCTCTGGAAAAAAGACAGAGTAACGAGTTTATATCTTTACAATTCTGATTTTGTTCTCATAAACTTGGAATTGCGAGAAAAAAAGGTCTGAATTGTGAAATATAAACTCGAAATTACATTTTTATTGTTTTATTCTGAGCTATCCCTTTAAGTGTTTGCTTGTGTGCTTGTTTCTGAAATATGCCAGTTTCAGTCATTAAATTTAGATGCATTGCTGGTTCTTTCCAAAACCACAACTTCTAATCGTCTGACCTCATTTCCTCCTGAAATGACCGGACACATCAAAGAGAGAGTCACTGCTTCCAACTCTGAATTCATTACCATTCAGATGACAAACAAATAATGAGCAGAATAATCATTTATTAATCAAATATGGAAATAAGGACAGTGTATATCTTTACACTTTTCCCTTTATAATTCTTCAGTTAGCGGAATATGTTTTGTTTCCTTTTCTGGCTTTTTTGCTGTTCTTTTCTTTTCTTTAAATTTTTCTTTCTTTTTTTCTGTTCATGTCTGACTTCATATTCTAATTTGCACTTCGAGTGTGATTACATGTGTGTGTGTGTGGATTAGAGCGCCTGAGAGAGTGTGTATGTGGGTTTACTTAGCTATAGTTTGGAGACAATTTTGTGAGTTAAATCTGACAAAACCTTACTATATAGCTAAGTAAATATGTGTATGTTTGTGGATGCATGTCTGTAAATGATGCTGATGTCTTCTTTCTCTTTTTGCAGAACCGCATGCACGAGTCAATGAAGCTGTTTGACAGCATCTGCAACAACAAATGGTTCACAAACACCTCCATCATTCTCTTTCTCAACAAGAAGGACATATTTGAGGAGAAAATTAAGAAATCTCCCTTAAGTATCTGCTTCCCAGAGTACACAGGTAAACTCATTATACACCGGTGTTAAGCAATAGAAGGAAAGGACAGATAGGATGGAAATACTAAATAATTGATGAGGAGAGGATTGGAGAAACAATCTCCAGAAGCCAATTAGCACAATACGTCTTCAGAACCATCCTGTTATTTTGTTCATTTTGGATGGATTCTCACCCATAATCTGGACAGCCTGCCATTTCTTTATTCTCCAGCACTGAGGAGAAACAGTCATCTGTTATTTCCTGTTCATGTTAGATCTGAGCTCTTCAGCTTCCTCCATAGCTGCTCTTCCTCATTCTAATTATACTGAATGAAATATGCGAGACAAGCTGCACAAACAATCACAAATAAGTTTGAGAAACAGAAATAACTTTCTTGAGCATGTGCTGAGGAACTATATATAATAAATAATTGTCTCTGCCTGAGGAAGTTAAAAAAAAAAATAATAATAAAAAATCCTACAAGATTTTCTCCTTGGCTGTGAGATCGAGGGCAATTGCAACACTAGTTATGTAATATGTTTGGAACTGAAAAATTATTCAATTATAATTTTAATTCAATTTTTGATTCAATTATTAAATTATAATATACAATGTATAAAGTCTTACTTTGCTGACCTTTGCTGTAAATATACTTTCAGACAGCTAAAATAATTTGTATAATATATAAGTTATTATAAAGCTATATAAAGTAGCATAGCAATTATTTTATTACTTTGTAAAATATAATATGCACATATAATAAGTGTTCAGTTTCCAGTTTATATTTACCACAATTCTTTCCACTCTCTTTTGCTGTCTTTTCAAATGGTCCTTTATTTAAAAAAATGCCCTTTTTTATCACCATTTCTGGATCTCCCACTGTTTTCTTTTATTCACTCCTTCCTTTATTCATCTGCTGCTTTTCCATCCTTACCTGACTCATCCTGTGCTGCAGGTTTGGACACATTCATGGAAGCGGTGAACTACATTCAATCCGAGTACGAGAGTAAGAACAAGTCAATTGAAAAGGAGATCTACTCGCACATCACCTGTGCTACAGACACAGACAACATTCAGTTTGTCTTCGACGCTGTCACTGATGTCGTCATCGCTAACAACCTGCGCTTCTGTGGTCTTTACTAACTCTCAGTGATGTCCAGCCCCACAATACAGTGGCAACTGTTGTCGGATATGTGACTTTATGTCCTTGTTTTATACTTTCAATTGTCTCTATTGGTGTCCATCAGGCCGTTTGATGTTCTTTTATAAGGTGGGAACTGGGTCAAATCTGGTTATAGTTCTCACAGAGCTGTTTTTTTAATTTATGTGCTACATTTTAACCGAAGGTCTGAACTCAACTATTGATTTAGGTACATTGTTACAAATATAGGAATGTGATTTGAATGTCCTTCCTGACACCTTCCTGGTGTGTAAGAGAGAGGCCAGGAGATATTTTGAGGAAAATTGGTGCCAAACTTTCACTACTTGCTACTTTTATCCTATTGTAACTGAGCTTGTAAATTCAGACCTATCCTTTTGTCCTTATTGCACGGTATGCAGATTAATGAGACCAGATTCAATGAGGTTATATGGCAATATTTTAAATTGTAGTGATTATGTAGGTGGCACTATTATGATGTTCTATACACACATTTTTCAGATGAATGCGTTTTGGATATGAATTCCACGAATATTCACAAGCTGGCTCATTTTACATGTGTTCTGAATTGGCATCTCAGAGTGTTGATGAAACACTAGGCTTGACATTTACTTGGCATTTAGAAGAGAGTGTAAATGTCCTATGCCCTGAGCCAAACCACAAAAATGTTAGCCTCTTAGCATAAAAAAAAAAAAAAACGGGACGTGTTACTCTTCAAAATTGGATTTTGGCCTTGGACCCAGAACATAATTTTTTTTTTTTTTTTAAGTATTTTTATTAGCTTTTTGTATTGTGTTGAGAAAAGACAAAGCTGATTTATAATGAGAGAAGAACTACATGATATCACAATATCACATTCATCCAACTGAAACAAGTTGTTTCTATATACAGTAGTGGTCGAAACTGCTGTCCGGCCTAGGAAATTAGCATCTTCACACTTTATTTAACTTACTAAAAATGTGTTATAGGTTTTGTAAGGATATTGCTTAGTTGTGCTTTGAGTCAATAGTTTTATTTGTAATAATGCAATGAAACATGGCACATCGTGTGGACATCATTTTTGACCTGTCATAGAAAGAAACTATGAACACATGGAAAATCAAGAGAGAACCAGCAAAACTGGTTATGTTGTAGTCAGTATGCTTTTTTTTTTCCTGCAAGCTTTTTTCTATGATTTTTTTTGTATGATTTATTTGCATCACATTTTGATGGTTTAACTGAACTTGTAGGATCATTAAAAACAGCCCCCCCCCATATATATATATAGGCCTATATATTTCTGTAATTAATCACAATTGATAGCACCTAACAAAGATTTGTAATATATTTTTATATTATAATACACATTTTCACATTGAATCTCCAAATAAATGTAGAAACAGCAAAGACGGTATATTTGTTTATTTTCATCTTTTTACTGAGTACCATGTAAGAAGGCCAGTATCACTGATACCAGTAATGCTACTGATGTCTCTATTAAATTGATTTTTTCGTCATTTCTGGAGATTAAATAAGTAATGATAGCCGTTCAACATTACAGTATAATTGAAAGCAATATTTATTTAAAATCTTCACATAAACCCATCAAATGTCACATTTCGCTGTGCCTCCATATGTATACATATATACACACACACAAACACACACATTACATTTTAGGGTTGGTAAAACATTTTTTAATGCTTGGTGGAAGTCTCTTATGCTTACCGCTTCTGCGTTTATTTATTGTGAAATATTACTACAATTTGGAATTTTTTTTCTTCTATTTTAATGCTTCTTTTTTATATATACTTTGTGTAACAATGTAAAACTCTTTACTGTTACTTTTGATCAATTTAATGCATTTTTGCTGAACAATAGTATTAATTCCTTTTTTATAAAAAAATAATCACAAACTTTTGAACAGTATACACACACATACAAATAACACCAGAATCACACACCTGCAACAACTGGAGAAGTATGTTTCATATCAGTATGACTGAAGTGATAGAATCACTAAGCTGTCTCACCACACGTTGCTGTTTTGTGTTTTATTCTATCTCGCTTGATTAACTGTTCACAGTATGCAGTAGGGTTAGTCATATCTAGAGGTGACACAGTTTTAACTATAGAGCAACAAGCTGTGATATTAGTCATTGCAGGAATATGACTGCTACAGGAACTGAATGGACCGGAGCTGAAAACACTGATGAGCTGATAAACTGTTGCTTGCTCTAGAATAGGCAGACACGTGCATTGCATTGCGTTGAACTGAGGCCTTGACCATTATAGGCCTGCTTCCGAGTATGTGAAAATACAGATCTGTAATTGACAATAATTCACAGTGCCATATATGCTTTGGAGGTTTGCTGCTATGAATGTATGTGAACAGCACTTTTAATCTTCATCTCTCTAAACAATCACTTTAGTCAGTGTGCGTGAATTATACATCAACTTTCAGGGAGGATGACAATTTCAAATTATTATTATCTTTTTTAAATCTTCTGTAACACAAATTGGGGTAACACTTTTTTTTGATGGTCCACTTTAGACAGTCTACTAACTATGAGCAACTTTGCAACAACATGTCAACTAACACTCAGAGTATTAGTTGACTGTAGATTTAGTAGTAGACAGTTAGTAGACGGATAGGTTAGGTTAGGGTTACATATTAGGGTTCAGGTTAGTAGAATAAGTTGACATGTAGTTGCAAAGTTACTGATAGTCAGTAGAATGTCTGTTGGGAGAGTGTTAAAATAAAGTGTATATTAAGCAGACAGTCTACTAATACTTTAATGAGAGTTAATTGACATGTACAGTAGTTGCAAATTTAGTAGAGTGACTAAAGTGGACCAATAGCCCCGTTTCCACTGCCGGGCCAGGGCTAACAGCGAGCCGAGCCGAGCCAGTGGCCTCGGGCCTCAAGCACCGGGCTTGCGTTTCCATTGTCGGGCCAGTAGCCCCGCAGCGCTGCCCTAAACCCCGCCCCTAACATGCCTTTCTGGATCAAACGTCATACAACCCAACCCATTTCAGCAGGTATTATGAATTTATTTATTTTTTAAGTTAGGAAGATAGCATGTATTAACTCACCTGCAGCCTGCAATAGTGTCCCGATTGTCTCGCGAGTCGCCACTAACAGAGGGACGGTGACCCAGCACACCGTCCATCAAGTCGAACCATGGAAAGTTCCTTCTCTGAGCTCCGCTTTGTCCATTGTGCGTTTGAATCGCCTTGTACAATACTGCGCCCGCAATTTTTTTTTTTTTCCTGAACTTGAAGCGTTGCTCGCTGAATGCTTAGCTTGGAAAGTTCAGCATCGATGTATTTTATAACGTTCTCGTTTCTTCAAATTGACGTTGTACCCTTTCTTCTACCTAAATGCTCAGAAGAGCTTTGGTATCTTCGACAGACCAGTACAGGCGATTCACCATTTCGAGCAGCGATTATTTTGCGCGATATAAAAAAGTGAAATGTGCATCTTGCTTCAGATCATAACGTTGCATAACACCGATAAACTCCGCCTTTTACCTTGACCACGCCTCTAGCCCGAGCTGGCCCGCTTTGGCCCAAGGTATTCGACGGGCCAGAAATCCTGGCCGTTGCCCCCGAGTAAGCCCCAATCAAGCCCCGGAAGTGACAGTGGAAACGCGACTGGCTCTGGCACGCACTAGCACGGCTCAGTGGAAACGTGGCTATTGAAATGAAATGCTACCAGAATTGGAATTTGGCACCTGTAGCACAGCATGACTAAAGTAAAAGACCTAACCTATAGCCTTTTGCTTTGACTGTCTTTGGAGGGTTCAAGCGTAAAAAATTGCACCCTGACTTCAGTAAAACATCATCTTGTATGACCTTTAAACCTCAGTCCGTTATTAGCTACTGTTAATCTATGGGAAATGTGATTGAATTCAATCAACTGCTTCAGACAGCAAAAGGACAGTGATTCCTTTCACACAGAAAGGCCAAAACAGTAACCATTTGATTTAAATAGATCATAAATGAGGGTTTCCTTGATGTACTGTAAAACATGCTGAATCGTGCCAGCTATAAACAGTTGTGTGTACTGTTAAGGCCAGTGTCAGTACTGAGCACAATTCAGTCATTGTTCAGGTCCATTATTGGTCAGTTCACACATTATTGGTCAGTGCATATGTGTTGGCGTATAGTTACTTTCATTCTAGAAGCCAAAGAAAGATCCTAAAGGGAAAGCACTTAGTAACCTCAATCCCAAATTGATCAGCCATAAAATTTAGATTATTATTTTAAAGAATGTAAAGTAACAAGACGGATGGATAATGTACTGTACATCAATTACCAGATCAGACACATAATTAGTTCAGTGGCCAAGATAAAGAAACTCAAGGGTAATTGAGTCTGTCCGTTGCTGAGGGACAAAGGGCAATTTGTTCCCTGGCCTTTAGCCATAGTACAAATAGCTGTTGGTAATGTATCCAGAATCCTTTCATCAGACTGACAAATGTAATAAGTTCAGGTGGTACGTTATGCTAATGTAGTTATGAAATGCCACTTACATATAAAATTGCGTGTTCCATTGTAGTATTTAATTCATATTTGATTCTGATTACAAACAGGAGGACAAGGCAGACAGGAGGCAGATTCTCCCATCAAACATCTTACTGTACTCACACCATCACTTTTTGTATGTTTGTTTTTGTCAAATTGCTGTAATTATTGTTTGGATGTGTCTCACTGCTGTGATTATTTATTGAACAATGGATGTCTATTTATATGACATGAATGAATAAAATAGTCATGAAATCCGAAGTCTGGCGCTCATTTTTTAATCTTGCGTCTTCTGCAAATAAACAGTTTTTGAGTACTGCTTATTTCCTCTGCATAATCGAGGATGTAGTGTGGTGAATCATCATTATTAGAGTGAGAAGATAATAATCATTTCACCAAACTGTTACCAAGACTTACAAGTATTCATAATCTGTACTTATCTTTGATCACATGATGTGGCTAATGCCAATATTTCGACTCTAAGATGTCTCTTTGTGGTCAGTTGATGCTTTTTGTGGGCTTCCGCTAGTTGCTTATCTTGACTCTTGCCGTTTATATATCTCCACTAAACTTTTTTTTCGGGTTTTTCTCTCTGCCTCTTTTTCTCTGTCTATCCTCCATTCTGGTTTCTTTTCCTCTCGCAGAATCGCATGCACGAGTCTCTTATGCTGTTCGATTCCATCTGTAACAACAAATTCTTCATTGACACTTCCATCATTCTCTTCCTCAACAAGAAAGACCTGTTCGCTGAAAAGATCAAGAAATCCCCCCTGAGTATCTGTTTCCCTGAATACACAGGTAAGAATGCCCTCTGATGTTATGGTCAGGTTTAACACTAGACTCAGACCACCCGACATTCTAGAGTCTCTGTAACGTGGGAGGCAAAGGATGTAGAGCAGGAGCTGAATCTTGCATGTGCAGTCATGGGTAAAAGGTGGGCACAGAGGGATGTCTGACAGAACACATGTCACTGCATCCGTTACACCCATTCCACCCTCGGTGTTGCTCTCCATGTAAAAAGCATTCGGTCAATGAAGTCGCAATGAAAATGTATTTTCATTATTTGCAAATATCTAACCGAGTGTTTTTTAAAGCACACTTTTGACGGAACATTTTACAAAATGTTAATGAATGAATTAGTTACACTACGTTTTCAATATTATAATAACGAATCATTAAATAGTACACAACATCTTGCAATCTTTATATATTGTTTAAAATGAAGACAAAATCATTTGGACAATGACAGTATATGTAGTTAAATTAAATGTTTAAATTATGATTAACTTTAATAAATCAATTATAAATAATGATTAAATGTATTCAATCTTAATATATTGTTTAAAATTAAGATTAAGAAGTATTTGGACAATAATAGTATATGTATTTAAATTTAACGTGTAAATTATTATTATTTATATTTAATAATTCATTCAATTATTAAAATTAAGCAAATTAGTAAACAATATTCAACATCTTGATATATTGCTCAAAATTAAGAAAGAAGTATAGGCAATTACAGTATATGTAATTAAATGTGCTAATTATAATTACCTTTCATTATTAAATCAGTTAATAAATATACATTGTTCAACAAAATACAATATATCATCTTGATATATTGTGGACACTTTGTGGTTGTCAAACGTTTGTGGATCATGTGTTTAATATGATAAAGTCCATCTGTGGTTACTTTACTAGGACTAAAAGGATCGTCTAGTATTACTTGTATGTACAGGTCCTTCTCAAAAAATTTGCATATTGTGATAAAGTTCATTATTTTCCATAATGTAATGATAAAAATTAAACTTTCATATATTTTAGATTCATTGCACACCAACTGAAATATTTCAGGTCTTTTATTGTTTTAATACTGATGATTTTGGCATACAGCTCATGAAAACCCAAAATTCCTGTCTAAAAAAATTAGCATATTTCATCCGACCAATAAAAGAAGTGTTTTTAATACAAAAAAAAAGTCAACCTTAAAATAATTATGTTCAGTTATGCACTCAATAGTCAATACATGGTCGGGAATCCTTTTGCAGAAATGACTGTAGCCCAGGTCAGGCGCTACGCCGCTGTTTCTGGTTCAAAAGTGGCTTGACCTGGGGAATGCGGCACCTGTAGCCCATTTCCTGCACACGCCTGTGCACGGTGGCTCTGGATGTTTCTACTCAAGACTCAGTCCACTGCTTCCGCAGGTCCCCCAAGGTCTGGAATCGGTCCCTCTCCACAATCTTCCTCAGGGTCCGGTCACCTCTTCTCGTTGTGCAGCGTTTTTTGCCACACTTTTTCCTTCCCACAGACTTCCCACTGAGGTGCCTTGATACAGCATCCTGGGAACAGCCTATTTGTTCAGAAATTTCTTTCTGTCTTACCCTCTTGCTTGAGGGTGTCAATGATGGCCTTCTGGACAGCAGTCAGGTCGGCAGTCTTACCCATGATTGCGCTTTTGAGTAATGAAACAGGCTGGGAGTTTTTAAAAGCCTCAGGAATCTTTTGCAGGTGTTTAGAGTTAATTTGTTGATTCAGATGATTAGGTTAATAGCTTGTTTAGAGACCCTTTTCATGATATGCTAATTTTTTGAGACAGGAATTTTGGGTTTTCATGAGCTGTATGCCAAAATCATCAGTAATAAAACAATAAAAGACCTGAAATATTTCAGTTGGTGTGCAATGAATCTAAAATATATGAAAGTTTAATTTTTATCATTACATTATGGAAAATAATGAACTTTATCACAATATGCTAATTTTTTGAGAAGGCCTGTAGATGCTGCTTGTTTTGATGTTTTCTTTCTAATGCAATGGAATCCAGACATTTTTAAGTGTGACTTAAATTGTCCAAATCATTTTTGGTCCAAAAGGTATCATACATAATACATAGATTCAGCAGCTTTTACATGGGGCACTTGCTTCATAAGGATGTGTAAGAGAACAGAAGAGAAGAGACATTTGTGAATGTCAGAAGTCACAAGGTCATTTTAAATATTAGGTTAACGAGCGTCTGGACCAGGGGTGTCCAATCTCAGTCCTCATCACTGTCCTGCAGAGTTCAGCTCACCTAAACCAGGCATACTCGAAACTTCCAGGCCGGTGTGTGTTGAGGCAAGCTGGACCTGACCTGGCTGTAACTGTCCTGAACTAGGACTGAGATTGGACACCCCTGGTCTGGAGTGACAAAGATCATTCATTTTTAAGATCAGAACATCTTTCTCTCACATATTCATTTGATCTCTTTCTGCCTCCGTAGGTCCAAACACTTACGACGATGCAGCTGCTTACATTCAAGCACAATTTGAAAGCAAGAACCGCTCGCCTAATAAGGAGATCTACTGTCATTTGACCTGTGCCACGGATACAGGAAACATCCAGGTGGTGTTCGATGCCGTGACCGACATCATCATCGCCAACAACCTGCGAGGCTGCGGCTTGTACTGAGGCCCGCCCCCTCCCTCTCGAGCCACTTCTTTGGAAATGATTACTATTGAAAATGCAAGTTGGTAAATAATGATAATGATAATTTTAAAATAGGCATATACAAATATATAAATATATTATATATATATGAAATGTTTTTAGTTTGTCTTTCAAAGAGCTGCCAACAGAACTGATTTCTTATAGAAACCCAGCCTTTATGGTTTTAGAACAAAGTTGGGACCTTTTTTGTGTTTTCGTTTCCCTTTGCTGTCGTACGTTTCGTTCTCCCCCCCCGTTTTCCATTGTGTCTTTATCGTTTGAACTAAACAACCCTCATTTTTCTTTTTTGAGAAATCTCTTTCTTTTACTATTTTTTTATGTTTTATGTCATTGTATGTATATTTATTACATGAATATCAGTCAGGGGGGGATGTACATGTTTGCCTGGCTATATGAATTTACTTTGACGATAATGTGACATTAGCTAAATCCACAGTTATGCTAGTCTCAAGCACTATGGTTCAAGTCAGTTGTAGCGTGTTCCCGCTCCCGATTTGTAATCACTGTAGTACCGTTCGATATCGTAGAGAATGGAAACACCCAGGATCGCACCCACCAGGCTTTTCTCGCGTTTCGTCTACCCGTCCCCGTCACTTCCGTAGGTCAGCTTTCTGGGGAAGGTCCCGGCGCGGCTTGGCGCCTGTCGAACCAGTCCGATGATTGCAAGTATCATATCAGTGCCAACCTTCTGAGAATGACGTGTCTGGGAATAGTACTAGAAACACTAGGTCACTGTTATGAGAACTTATTAACATTTGTCTTGTAAGGAACTTTTACTTTTGTATTGTTGTTGATTAATTTATTAATTTATTTATTGATCATCTGTCCCACACACCTCCTTTGTACTTATTACACCTTGTCCATTCTTCTACCTCTCGTCCATTGTCACCCTTCCCTCTTCATTCCTTCTCTTTCTTAGGTTTCTTCCTGTTTTAGTTGGCTGGGTAATGGAGTCCCCGTCACTGATAGCATGACCCCTCAGCCTTTGTATAAAGAAACAGCTAACTGCTTCACATAGCTAATGGTGCGAAAATAAAGAAGAAAACATGAAATAAAAAGAACAAAAAAAGAGGAAAAAAAGAAACCAGAAAAGACAGACGCAGCAAAAAGAAAGGGCATCATGTGGGCGGGGTTAGGGGGTGGTACGGGGGAGGGTGGGTAGATGTGGGGCTCAGAGAAATGACGTGGAGGCTTACAGACGAAGGTCATTGGGCTGTCAGTCTTTGTAGGAAGCTGTAGATCCTCCAGTTCTAGAATCTTTACAAGTAGAAATAATTGAGAAAAAAAGAAAAAAAATGGACAATAATAACAACAAACGACGACGACGACGATGATTACAATACCAATATCAATGATTATTCTGTAATATTATTAAAGGTATATTTCTTGTGCTTTGTAGCTACAGAACTTTTTTTTCCCCCCTCTCTCCCCCTTTTTTTAAAAAAGAAAAAAAGAATTTTGCAAGGGTTCCTGTGATCCACTCTTGAACCGTTCTTACTGACTTACCCATGTTGATGTTGATGAACTGTACTGATTCTTTTTGCCTGTTCGCCCTGCATTGCAATGTCTTTACTTAGCCTGAATTACAGTATATGTATTGATTTTTTTTAATTTTTTAAAAAAATTCTTTTCTTTTTTTTTCGAACGAACCACTTTTTGGTGGCACGGCCCCGTCCCCGGTGCTGGAGAGGGCGGGGCTGTGCACGGCTGTACAGATTCATGCGCTTTCTCTTGGTTTTTTGAGAATTGTACTCAAACACCTTCCAGGTCTGCATAGAAAAGCACAGCTCTCACCTATCACACGTAGATTTGGAAAGATGTATCTATCCTCCCTCTCTGCCTTCTCAGTTTGAAATCAATGAAAAATAGAAAAAAGAAAAAAAACTGTACAATTACCTACACTACTGTTAATTTTGAATCTCCTTCCCTTCTTTTTTAAATCCTTTCTTTTTCCTCTCCAAGTGAATGCTTTTGTGCTGCTTTTTCTCCCTCTTCTTTAGTGAATGGTTGTTCTTTCATGTGGGATGTTCGTGCTGGAAAACCAATCGAATGTAGTGTTTACATTAAAAGCCACAGTTTTCATGACTACAACCTGGAGCTTTTTGCTTTTGATTGTCATTCATTTCTGCTTTCTTTGTCGTTTATATATTACACTGCTACCATGATCGCTGAAATGATGGCTTATGACTAATGAGGTGATACAGATACCAGCAGAGATCAGTTAGCGTAGGAATGAAAGGATGCGAGAATGTCTTGAGCTAAGGTAAACTTATCCGCCATTAATCCAATACTAAGGGGCCATTTCAACTAAAAACTGAAAAAAATTTATGTATTTTTTATGCAAACTTTAGAAAACGGGTTTCAAAGTGCAAGTTTTTGAAAACCATACCGTTACCGCCACAAAAACGTGAATCTGTGAAGGCATGCACTCACATGCGTATTACGTGTTCAGTCTATAGGCGCATGGTGTTTCTTTACAAAGTGACATCGTCACCTACTGGCCTGGCATGAATAATACAGCGTTTTTAGCCGTTTTTACGGATCCGTGTGAATAGGGATCATTTTGAAAATGTTGTCATCTGTACAAAGAAAAAACCTTTCCGTTTTTAGTACATCGTTGTCGTGTAAACGTACCGTAAAAGGACAGACAGTATTTAGGATTAAGGTGATCTGTTTAAGGGGCTGTGTACACAACACCGTTTTCAACTAAATCATACAACTTTATGCGTTTTGGCCTTTCATTTACATGAAAATGTTATGCTTGAAACCGCAAACTTTTGAAAATGGGTTTCAAAGTGCAAAGTGCTGTTATTGTCTCCGTGTAAACTACAAAAATGCGAATTTGTGAAAGCGGTGACGTCATGCGCATGCGTAATAGGTGTTCAGTCAGTTACAAAGTTACATCACCAACTACTGGCCTGGCAGCATAATACAGTGTTTTAGTCATTTTCACAGATCAGTGTGAAAGGGGTCATTTTGACAACGTTGTCGTTGTATTTACATGAAAAACGCAAAATAAAAACTTTTCAGTTTTTAGTACATCATTGTTGTGTAAGATTCCTTAGATCAATATAGACCAATTTCCAGCCGACGTCACAGTTACGTCACGGCGCTAGCTGGTGGCAGAACAAAGGGAAAACTGGAGGCGGCAAATACAAACCAGCACAGATTCGGCTACAAAATAAGGATCTTAAATTATTCTTCTTATTATTAAATGTCATCTTGTTGTGTTGTTGGGTGCAAGAATCAATGAAAAATGAATATGCTTTATCTGCAATTTTTTATTTCTAGAAAATATTCACCTCATTAAAATTGCACCGTAATGTCACTCTTTACATTGTCGTCTTCATCGCGCTGGCTCGGCAGAACTGCGGATCGTACCACACAAGTCTTGTACTTGACCATTCAGCACATAGTTATAGGCATCTAAAGATTTATATGCCCTCTGTTTCTCTATCGGGTAGGTGTAGAAGTCAGGCCACTCAACCGGAGGTAGCGTTAACGTTAATCCTGTCAGATCCTCAATCAATGAGTGTAAGGGTCGGCCAATCTGGTTCCGTCCGTTAAAATTAACTTTTGCAAAAAACAATCGCGGTCCTGGAGACCGAGTGACCTTGCACAATAAGATAAAATCGGATTTTCTCCAGTCATTGTTAAAAACAAGCTAACAAAACTTGCAGACTTTACGTTAGTGAAGCGGCCAGAGGGATCGTTCTGCCACCACCTATGCTCCGCCCACAAAAAAACGTCAACATGTTTACCAACTGAAAATTGGTCTATAAAGAACTACAGTACTATAAACAAAACTGTCGGCATAGTATGCAATATAGGGAACATGGAGGAAGTGTGGTTGAATCCCAAAGGACATAATTATGTTTCTGTGCCTCTTTAAGTGTGTCTTCAGCCAGACGGTCCTGGAGAAAGAAGAAGGAGATGCTCAGTCACTCTATACCACGGCTTCAAAAGAGGAAGCACCGCTTTGAGCCAGTCTGATTGGATGGTAATTGCAATGAGAGATTCACATATGGATAGAGAGAAAGAAAATGAGAGGAAGAGTTTGTGTGCGTTTAGATAATGATGGGAAACTGCAGAGGTAATTGGTATTGACTCTGTCCACCCCAATCAACACAGAGGCTTTATATAGCTATAGGGAAATTGTCCTTCCCCCTCTTCTGGTGGTGATAGGTAGTCTCTTTTACACCTAAAGCACAATCTCAAGCAAGTCTGCAGGCTTAGATTGTGCCAGGCTCATGGCTGCCACCAACAGGTCTACTGCAGAACTACTAATTGAACCCTATGAAGATTTTAGGATAATTATGTTTAAATAATAGCATATATTATGTCTCCACCAACATTTGAACTAAACCTAAGCTGCTGCACACAATCATTCATACTAACTGCCACTAATTCTTTAATATGATTACATGAACACTGTAAGATAAAATGACTGGATTCTGTTAGATCACTTATCTGATCATCACTATAGTAGCCGATATTGTTTGCACTGATGCTGAAGTATTTCATTCTTGTAACCACACAATGACGAGTCAGTGTAGTGTCTTGGTATGTCCTAAAATTCAATCCCAGGACCTTGTCCCTGTCAGCTATTTTTCCACACACACACACAAGGATATTTATAGTGCACCCCCATAGTCTGTCTGTTGCTAGGAGACAGCCTGGTGCAGATTTCCTCAGCATGCAATACCTAATGCTTTCATCACTGCTATGTATTTTGTCACAAATTTTATAGTGTGAATTTGTTATTTCACACTGCATAAAACCATTCAGTCTCTGCATTGCCACAATAGAGTAATTATGCATCAAGCTGACACCCTGCAGGATAATAATGGACATTGTGCTAAAGAGAGCGAGAGAGCAAAAAGGAAGTGGTGTAGGATGTGTGTTTGTGGTGATGGTAAGCAATGAGAAGGCCAGCAGAAAATGCTGATTAAATTTATGTCACAATTAAAGGTCAAGACCCCAAAGTCGCTGTTGCCATGGAAACTGCATGTTTACTCCTGTGTCCTCACACTGCTGGAATGACGCCGTCTGTTCTGTTCAGTGCAATATACCTGTTCCTCTCACAATCACTCCGAAAACTGACACCTGGATTCTCTCTCATGAGGATGCACATGCCATAACCCTTGAAGTACGTCCTTGAAAAGAGGACAGTGATAAATGCAAAGTTGCAAAGTCGTCACAAACAGTAAGTTTTATCTCAGTAATTATTATAAGGTTCCATAAGTCAAAAGTCCAAATGTTTTGTTTCATAATTGTTTTACTGTTTAAATTTAGTCGAAAATGGCTGGCTATTTTGACATCTTACCTCATATAGTGTGTCTATGTACCATGAAATATGTGACAACTCGCTCTGGGTTTTGTTTTCAGTGTATAGTTTTTTCTTGATATACCCCGAAAGAATGGAAGTGAAATGTGACAACATGCCCCAGCGTTGGGGCATGTTGTAACGTGAGGGGCACATGTGATCTAATAAAAAAAACAAAAACAAGACAAACTAAAATATTTCTCAATAAAATACAATTATTAACTTTTTTATATAAAATAATGGAATTTTTTTTAATAATTAAAAATAAACGAATTTTTGAGTTTGACAACGAACACATGGGAAAACACAGCTATACAATAGTTCAAAACATAATAATGAATAATTTCTGAACATTGACTCTCAGTCTTTATTCACCTTTTTCTCATGTTTTCTCAATAGAATTCATAAAAGTATAGAATATAATAGCATAGTTCTAATAGGGGCACATTGTACCGCAGTGTTAACATGCCCCGCCTGCACAACTGGGATTCTTCTGCTAGTTAGCGAAGCATTAAAGAACTATATCAAGTGTTAAATAACATATTAGAGATTAAAATAATATCAGATGTGTCTAATTTTAAATAAACAAAAAAATAGAGATGAAAAATTAATATAAGTAAGAAATTTACTTTTTCTATGGTTAAATTAATGTTCAATCAATCAAACTTTATTACAGACTCAGGGTCCAATTTTAAAAACACACCCAACATATAACACAA